GCCACAGTAAAAAGCCCCTTGCCCTAGACAAGTTCAGTGCTGCATCCCCCCATGTGAGAAGAAGGACAGTGAAAACACACTGCCGATGGGAGATGGGAAGGGGAAGAGAGCACATGAACATACAGAGGTGATGAAGTTCCCCTGCCCAGCAATAACATGCAGTAAGGGAAGAAAATGGTTTCAGCCCGAAGCATTTTTGCTCTGTTCTGCAAGGGACCTGTGCTCATGAGCGGCTGGGTGCTGGGAAGCTGCTGGTCATCCAGGTAGGTCCTCCTCTAAAACACTCCACAGCATTGCAGGAGGTGGAAGGTGAAACATGCCATGGAAACATGCCACGCGCATGAACTGGACTCGGCCAAGCACAGCAGATGATCTGTGCACGTGTGCACATGTAGAAATGCACGTTTCATGTGTTGAAGGCCTGGGGGAGTCTCTGGATCGGCCCTCTGGATTGGAAAAGTTTGTTTCCATCCTTATAGTTCCACCTTTCCCTCTCATCACAAAGCTCAGCCACATCTCTTCAGCCTCCTTCGCCTCTGGAGCTGTGAATTCCTTCTCCATGATGAGAGCTTCTTGGCAGTGTTGTAGGAATAAGAACACCAGGAGCCTGGGATACAACAAAGCAAACGCACCGAGGATCCGAGCTGTCCACATACAAATCATCTGCTTTTTCAGCTTGCTGGAGGTGGTTGATACTTGAGTTATTCCGTCCCCGAGTGAGTAGCCCATATTTTTAGGAGTTTGATGAGCGTAACCGTGTTTGTGGATGGGCAGCATTCGCATCCTACCAAGGAAGACTCATCAGTCCCCAAAGCAGTCACTGCTAGGGAGGAGGAGACCTTCAACTGAGAAGGTCTCCTCAGGCTCAAGAGTCAATCGTTTGGCAGAGCTGGGTGTGAGGAAGGCTAGGCAAGGCAAGAGGGACGCGCGGACTCCTGCCATCTGTCCGGTGTAGTTAAACAGTCTCCAGGGACGTCTAGAAACAAGAGACAACCCTCCTGGAAACAGTTAAAAACGATTTGGAGGGGCTTCCAGATTTTCCTTGTGTAATCCCATGCAACTGTCAGCTGTGAAAGGAAGGAAGAAGAAAAGCCTTTCTCTTCAGAGAAGACGGTATATGATGGTTATTCATCGCAGGCTGAAAAGGCTGTCACTGCAGCAAAACAAAACAGCCTTACATTTGAGTGCTTCTGCCACTAATTCAGCATGCTGAGCAGCTGGAGCCCTCTGTGGTCCCACCAACCAAGATAGCGCATTATTCTCTTCCTACAAAAGGATGCGGAGAAAAGTAGCT